CATGCCCCAGAAACAGACTCAAGTGGTACAACAATGCAAGGCATCAACCCAGGTTTTGGTTCTGTACACATGTAAGACAGGGGAAGGTGGCCTCAGCTGACCGGCCATAATCTGTGACTATTATAGCAAAAACAAACCGCAGTATCTACTGTAGGAAGCATCAATCTAAATATATAATTGAAAAGCTGATCATGCCAGTACAACACCTTTAAAGCACGAGTACATGAAATCGAAATGTGATCATGGATTTCATCAAATGATTTACCCTCTTTTGCATTCTTTAATTTTGTAAAGAAAAAGTGTCAGTCTTACTCTAACATATTCCATTTGTTTCCTACTCTTAACAAGATTTGACTTTTGAATCAACCTAAAACTGATTGAAAACTGTTTGAATCATTACTTTTTACAAGTGTCTTTTCTGTTGGTGACTTAGAAATTACTTTGAGCAGGTACCTTTAAAGCAACACCCCGGTTTTACGTAACATAAACATTTCCTTGGAATAACAAATTCCTCACAACGATACCGTAACAGTTTAGGTTTCCAGACATCACCAGGGTTGTCATGGCGACGCAAAGAGTACGGGATGCGATTATGAACCTGACAGTACCTTGTTCAGCCACTGATCCCATCGTGCAGCACAGCCGTCCCTCCTGCCCCTCCTTTAAAAAAAAACAAACAGAGAGAGCTTAACATTTTACCACATAATAGCTGGTCAATGTCATTTTAAACATTCCAACACCAGAAAACCTGTAACTGCTGTTTGCAGGACTGCATTCACTTTAATGAGGATGCAACCTGTGGATGGCACTATCTTTAATCAAAGCAGCTGGGGTTTAAGCGTGCACATTTATCACAGTTTCAGGTGCTGCAGAGCTCTGGTGTGAATTCCCACCTAAGACCGGGACCACAGCTGCTCTGACAGCCATGATTGATAGTCAAAGCATCACAAGGAGCTGCACAGGGATCCCTTGCCTTTGCTTTTCTCAATGCCTTGGCCCAAGCCAGAAGGAGTAAGGCAATATGAAAATGTTGAATCTGTAACATGCAAACTTAACCAGAGGCTGTAATGAAATAAGCTGCTGACAATGCGATAAGTGCATCTTCACTGTATCTGCGAGGGAATCGGATTGACTTATTAGCTACCCTCGCTGGGGAACAAAAGCAGTGAACCATAACCAAGTCAAGTCCATTCATTTGACTGGAGTCAGCAAGCACGGAGGCTTTTAAGGTGGTGGTGCACTTCAGGGTTTGATGCTCTGGCAATAAACTATGCCTTTGTGAGTTTAACCAACTAGTCTGCCTGTTAATCATTCTGTCAAGAAATCAGTCATTAGCACGCTAAATCCGTGTCACTGGTTTTAAGATGCTTGGCTCATTATTCATTTGGCTCTCAAAGGACAGATACAGGATCAGTATAAGGGCCTG